TCGGAGGGCTGAGGCGGAAGGATCGCTGGAGCCCAGTGGGTTGAGGCTGCGGTGGCCAGGAGCAGCCACTGCACTCCAGTCTGGGCGACGGAGTGAAACTACAACTCAAAAAAAAAAAAAAAAAATCAGCCAGAACCTGTGGGGACTACTCCCAGCTACTCGGGAGGCTGAGGTAGGAGGACACTGGAACCCAGGAGTTCGAGGCCACAGTGAACTGTGATTGGACCACTGCACTCCAGCCTGGGCAACAGAGTGAGACTCTATTTCTAAAAACAAACAAACAAACAAACAAATATTGAACAAATTCCTAAAATCTATAGACGAATATAGCTAACAAATCTATTTTTAAAATATTCAGGCTGGGGGCAGTGGATCAAGCCTGTAATCCCAGCACTTTGGGAGGCCGAGGCAAGAGGACTGCCTGAGTCCAAGGGTTTGAGACCAGCCTGGGGAACTTGGTGAAGAAGCCTCGTTTCAAAAAATGAGCCAAGCATGGTGGCGTGTGCCTGTAGTTACAGCTACTTGGAAGGCTGAGGCAAAAGGATCGCCTGAGCCCAGCAGGCCAAGGCTGCGGCAGTTATGAGCATGCCACTGCACTCCATCCTGGGTGACAGAGTGAGCCTTCGACTCCAAATAAATAAATAAATAAATTAGGCCAGGACAGGTGGCTCACACCTATAATCCCAGCATTTTGGGAGGCCAAGGTGAGAGGATTGCCTGAACTCAGGGTTCGAGACCAGTCTGGGCGACTTGGCAAGACCTCGTCTCTACAATAAATCAAAAAATTAGCCGGGTGTGATAGCACGTGCCTGTAGTTCCAGCTAGTTTGGAAAGGTGATGTGGAAGGATCACTTGAGCCCAGCAGGTTGAGACTGCAGTGGCCGTGAGCATGCCACTGCACTCCAGCCTGGGCGACAGAGTGAGACTCCAATTGAAAAAAAAAAAATGCTTACATCTCTTCCTATGTCTGCTTCTCACACAGTAGACAGAAGGCATGAGGATTCTGCCTAGGTCAGAGGGGAGAGACAACAGTTCCTAGGTTGAAATGTGGCTTGTAATTATGGTTGACAGGCAGAGTAATTTTCTCTTTCTTCTTTTTCTTTTTCTTTTTTTTGAGATAGGATCTCCTTCTGTCACCCAGGCTGAGGTGCTGTGGTGCGATCATAGCTCACTGCAGCCTTAAGTTCCTGGGCTCAAACTCCTGGTTTCAAATGATCCTCCCACCTTGGCCTCCCAGAGTCTCACTCTGTCGCCCAGGCTGGAGTGCAGTGACATGCTCACGGCCACCACAGCCTCAAACTGCTGGGCTCAAGTGATCCTTCCGCATCAGCTTTCCAAACTTGCTGGAACTACATGTACGTGCTGAGACTACAGGCATGAGCCACTGTGCCTAGCCCAGAGTAATTTTCTTAAAACCAGAATTAGTTGCCATCATTTAAAATGGAGAAATTTGCTGGGCATGGTGGCTCATGTCTGCAATCCCAGCAGTTTGGGGGGCAGAGGCGAGAGGATTGTTGAGACCAGCCTGGGCAACTTGGCAAGACCTCGTCTACACAATAAAAATTTAAAACTTAGCTGGGTGTGGTGGCACACGCCTGTAGTTTCAGCTACTTGGAAGGCTGAGACAGAAGGATTGCCAGAGCCTAGCAGGTCAAGGCTGTGTTAGCGGTGATTGTGCCACTGCATTCCAGCAGGGCAACAGAGTAACACTCCGACTCAAAAAAATAAAATAAAATAAAATTGGGAGATTTCATATATAGATCCAATTTTGTAAGTGCTTTTTTTTTCAAATTAGCACACTTTACATATGTACAATGTGATTTTTTTCAAATAGAAATTATATATATTTATCATGTCCAACATGCTGTTTTGAAATAGGTTGTATACTTTGTGAAATGACTAAATTGAGCTAATTAGCATATGTGTTAGCTTACACACATCATTTTTTTGTGGAGGCTGATTTGGGAGAACTGCTTGAGCCCAGGAACTTGCCCTTCTGACTGTTCCCTGCGCCCTTCAGCCGCTCCCGGCCACCGCAGCCTCGACCTGCTGGGCTCAGGCAATCCTTCCGCTTCAGCCTTCCAAGTAGCTGGAACTACAAGTGTGCACCACCACACCCAGCTAATTTTTTGATATATTGTAGAGATGAGGTCTATGCCATGTTGCCCAGGTTGGTCTCGAACCCCTGGGCTCAGGCAATCCTCTCGCCTCTGCCTCCCAAAGTGCCGGGATGACAGGCATAAACCACTGCACCCAACTGAAATATTTCTTGCAACCAAATCTTTATTGAAAGAAGAAGACAGAGCCGGGCTTGGTGGCTCAGCCTGTAATCCCGTGCCTTTGGGAGGTTGAGGTGAGTGGATTGCCTGAGCCTGCGGTTCGAGATCCGCCTGGGCAACTTGGCAAGACCTCATCTCTACAATAAATCAAAAATCAGCCGGGTGTGGCAGGGCACGCCTGTAGTTCCAGCTACTTGGAAGGCTGAGGCGGAAGGATCGCCAGAGCCCAGCAGGTCGAGGCTGCGGTGGCCGGGAGCGGCTGAAGGGCGCAGGGAACAGTCAGAAGGGCATCTCCCGAGATGGCACTGAACACTATATAGAACCACACAAAGACAACAAAGGCCCTAAGCTCCGGCTTCTCCCCATACGGTTTCGCACGCGCGTGAAGTTTAAACCTGCGTGCGAATAATTTCTCCCTATAGGAATACTACCTCATAGTCTCCTCCAATAAAACCCAAACATGGCACTGGCCAGCCCCTGCCAGGCCCTTAAGTACAGCCCT